TTAATTGATTTGGCTTTGTATGTTGTTTCGACTAAAAGTGAAGTTTGATATATTAGGATAGAATATGCAGTAGATGTCCTTAAATTAGAAACTAATTAAGTATTGAATAATTTGGCTTTTTGGAATTGATGATTTTTTGGAGGGATATCTGTCAATTCTTGGATTTGGAATACTGTTTAAATCTTTCATAATAATTAATTTATATTTGTTATTTTGAGTAAGAGAAATTAAGTAGTCTTGAATTTCTTTATGAAGTTGTTTTTTTTTATAATTTGAAAAGTATACTTGAAGAAGTCTAATGAGTGTGTTTTTGAAGTAGAAGTCAAGTCCAATTATGTGTTCATTGTAATTATAAGATTTGGCAATATATTTAGAAATTTTTTTGTATACAAATATGCCAACACTAGCTTGGTAAGGATTTGTATATGAGCATCAGAAACTGTATAATTTTGAATTTAGTTACTAAATATTTTTCTTTTCTTAGAAGACAAGTGTGTTTCAGAGAGTCCAAATATTTAAAAGTTGTTTTCTTGTAATAGTTCTATTAAGGAAAGTTTCTTGTTGGATTGAGAGAGACTATTTATATTTATTAATCCAATTTTAATTAATATAGAAGTATGTTCAGGTGTAATTATTAATAGAGTGAAAAAAGGTGTTGTAGAATTGTTTAAATAGATTGGTTGATTAGATGTAAAGAGGCTAGTAGAGTTTGTATTAGGAATTGACCAATTAAAAAATGTTAATAATGGTAAATAACCATATATATTGTAAAAAGAGGAGTCTATTTCTGTGTGGTTTGGTAGTATTTGGTCTGTAGTTTTTAAGTAAATATGTGATTTTGTTTTTTTAGAGTTTATAGATATTTTTATTAGATTAAAAAAGGTATTTAAATGTAGATGTTGAATGAATTTTTTGAGTGAAACAGGTTCAGTGATTTGAGGTAGATTATATTGATTTAAGAGTTTAGTATAGCATTTGTCTATCTCAGTAGAAGATAAAGCATTGGAGATAGAAATAGTATTTGTAATGTCTTCTACAGAAGTGCTTACTATTTTAAGCTCAGCTTGCACAGCTGTGAAGGATACCATAACCTGCTCTGTACATTGGGTCTAGTCGATATAATCCTGGTCCTTCACTACAATAAGCTTTACTACCTGCCCACTGTCATCATTCTCTTCTAAGTATGGCTTACATATGTGGAGGACATTATTATCTTAGAAGCAGTAACTGCATTAATGTTTATCTGTAGAAGATTTGTTTGACTTATATATGTATAGTGTTTGTAAGTATATTGGGTAATTGATTGTTTTTGTATTTGTATATGTATTACTACATATTTGTTTAATTGTTAATTATAGTTTCTACTACTATAACTAATGATTTGCCCTTTTAGGGTTCTAGTTTCTAACTGGTACTATCAGAGAGATTCTATTTTTCCTATTCGGAACTTCAAGATGGGTTTCCAGTCCTTATATCCAGATTGGGTAAGTTCCCAGTTCTTCATTGGTTCCTTATTAGCACCTTTTATTGGACTTATATCAGATTTATATCTACCTATTGCCACTTAACTAGATATATTTCTTGATGTAACATAGTATGTTACACTAATGCCAGTGCTTAGAGCTACAGGGCAAGAGCATGAAACAGTAATACCCCCAACTTCACAAGATATAGTTGACTATTATACAAATCATATAATACCAGTTATATTTATTTATTCGAAAATTATCACCAGTAGGATTCGAACTCTAAACCTGGCTATTTTGGATGCAACAACTTAACCACTTTACTAAGTCATCACACCTCTTTTGGTTTTGATCTCTTAAATAGTTGTGCCAAAAAAACATTATAAGATTTCAATTTTTTAAACCATCATGTGCTATGAATAGTGATAGGCAAATCACAGTTTTTTTAAAAAATCCTATACAGGATTTGCAGAATATAATAAAGTTTTTTTAAGTTTTCATGAATTATAAAAATATATATAAAATAATTAGTAGAAATATAATTTCTTGTTAAAATAACAAGTTTAAATAAATTTAGCATTTCAAAATAATGCAAAATCAGTTTATTAACACCTATGTTATAAAAATGTTGTTTATAGAATGACTTAATAGTTATATTTATTATAACAAGGAATAGTAAGTAAGAACTACCAATAGCAAAAAAAATTTAATCAAGTATACACATATATAAACAAATAAAAGTTCTATGTAGAAATACAGACTAGAGTAAAACAGCCACCCAAAAAAGTTTCAAACATCATATGACAAATATACCAAGACTAAAAATTCATATAAAAAATCATTTTTTTTCATCAATTTAAACATTGTGATAATAAATAATATGTTTATAGAATTATTTAAAATAAATAAAATGATTAATTTATTACTTATTGCTTAAATTTTGTTAAGCTACATGAATTTTTAGATGATGGTCGAAACTTTTTTGGGTAACAATTTTACTCCAGGCTTAAAAATTAGTTCATTAATGTTAATGCAGGCCAGATAATATGCTAATATATGCCAAATAATCTAAAAAAAACTATGCATCTCACACAGATCCTGTGTGTAGCCTATCTCTAGCTATGAAGAACTTTATTAGGTCTTTTAAATTGTCATGTACTAAGAAAACTTTAAGTTTGGATCCTTTAAATTGTCATGTATAAGGAGGATTTATTTAAGTTTTTTAAATTATCATTTATTTAAAAGGATTCTTTAAAAATTGCCATTTGTTAAAGAACTAGTTTATTTTAAAATACTTGATTTCTTTTTAAAATATTTTTTAGAAAAAATATTTAATAATTATAATTTTTTATCCTTTAATAACTCAATAATATCTTAGTCTTTTTGTGATAATTTATATGAAAGTTTTGCTAACGAATCACATAATAATCATGGTGATGATTGTTTTTTTATTTTTCTTTATTTAATAGTTAATAAATACTTAAGCTGCTATTAGGCAAATCTACATTTGAAAAAAAAATTAATGCTTTAATTTTACAGCTCATATCTTGATAAATTTTAAAACTACCTTAATGGTTTAATATTTAAAAGAAAGCTTATAATCTAAGCTTTTTTTGAATATTAAATCATTAAGATAATTTTAAAATCTATTGAGATATGAGCTGTGAAGTTAAAAGCATTAATTTTTTTTCAAATATAGATTTACATTGATGGCAGCCCACTTGTTGGTGTTTAGGAAAAAAGAGGTAATTTGATAACATGTTGCAAGTCATACTCATGGGATAAACTAATAATTTAATTGGTCAATTGCATTTCTTAGCTTATATATATAGTATATAAAAAGTAATCATATAGTGCATACAAGCTAAAGACAGATATAAAATTCAAATCTTTACTACACTTTTTCAAATAATTTTTTTAATTGTAATTCATCATTATTTAATAGAAGTAACTATGCTAAATCTAATTACAATTAGTTTTATACAAAGTTCAAGATACAAGAAAAGTTATAGATACTTAAAGTTACTAATTGTTACTAACAATTGCTGTGAATTTGAAACATCACGTAATCTAAAATTCTGCATTCTGATTGGTAGCAGATTATCAAATAAATCATTATCTGATAAAAAGAAATTTATATTTCGCAATTGTAATATCGATAATAATTACAAAAACTCTTTCTAATGATCATTCGAACCAAACTTTTCAAAAAGCTGAACTACAGAAAAACAATATAGTTAATATATTAAACTTTATAAAAACTTTTTCAGAGTACTGTACACACATAGTTGAACATTGAAATAGAGTTGAAAAAGAAGTTGCAGCTTTGTGGTGATGGTTTAAATGCACTTTGGGACTATAGAAGAAGTAGTCGGTGAAAGCCAAAGTTTCTTTATAAAGTAAACAACAAAGTTGGATATATTAGTTCTATACAACTGTAAAACCTACAAGGAACACCTACAAAGGTCAAGAACTCACAAAAGCTACAAAGTTGGTTCACCTCTCGCCTTTACTTTGCTTTGAGGAAATTTTGTAAAAGTGGGCGATTTAGCTTACCCTCTCCTAAAGATCAATACGTAAAACTACCAAAACAGTCAGCAGTGTTTACTTCCTAAATGGGTTTGTTGATGACGTAGATCAAAACAAGACGGTAATACAAACATAACTATACATGTGCCTCGAAATACTAAAAAACCTGAAAACACTGCCTCTGAACTAACTAGTACTCTATACTAACCCTCTATGATCAAGTTGAAGATTTTTTCTTTCCTACATAGTTTTTTATTAAATAATCTAAGTAAATAGAAAAATAGTAGAGTTATTTCTATTTAATATAGTTTATAATTTTTAAAGGCCTAACACAGGCATACAATTGTGACCATCTGATATTTGTGAATTGCAAGTTTCATACATTTTCTTTTTTTCTCATTTATTCCCTTTCCCCTTTTATTTCTTGATTTGTATTTTTTATCATTTATCCCTATATCTCTGTTTTGTTTTTTATATAAAAAATTCTTTTTTTGTTTTTTGTTTCTCTATGAAAAGATGTCATCAGATTGGTGATGTCCTATTGTAGGGTGGCAGTCAGATGAGCAGTCTATCTCTAACTGGGATAGTGTAGCAGATCATACTTAGGTACCATTGGGTGACTGAGTAATGCTAGACTTATATATCAGAAAAATTCTATGTAATCTGTATAGTTTCAAGAATCCTAATAAAATACTAGCATAACTGCTAAAGTTAAAAAAAAAAAAAAAAAAAAAAAAAAAATTGTAATATCAGAGGCATGTAATTATCATATAAAGTCAGAAATTGTCTTTTAGAACTCAAAAAAAGCTAACTAGCCAGAATCTTAAATAACAAAAGTGCCTGAGAGCACACTTTGGAAAGAAAAATAAAGTGCTTGAAAGCATACTTACGCTTTGAAAAAAAAAAAAAAAAAGCAAATAGCACATATTAATTTTAAATCCTACTAAAAATAAATCAAGTTTTTTAAAATCAGAGTTTTTTAATTTTTTTTGCACAATATATAACATGTCTCATCCATTTAAAAACAAGCAAAAAGTAGTCACTGCATCAAAGACAAGGATAAAAAAACATCATTTGGATAATGATATTTTTAATAAAAGTAAGTGCAGGTTCAATATTAATGAAGATGATAGTCAAACCACTAGCAAAGTTCACATAAATGCTATGACTAAGCTTATAAAGACAAGTAAAATTTGGTTGAAAAATAAAAGACCCTTAACATATACCGGTAATTCAAGAATAATGAAATAGTGATGCAAAACCTTCTTCACTTATGCAGCATTATATACATCAATCTTGGAAACTTTTTTTAAAAAACAATAATAGAGAAAAGATATCCATCAATGTACTATCCACTATAGAGTTACCAAAAAATTATAAGATTGAGAATGAAGAAGATGTAAAAGAAGATAATTCTTTAAAAATCATCACAAAAGAACTTCATGAAGATATTGATAAACCAAGCTTTTCAGTTCTCAAATTGTGCTTTCAAGCCATGCTTCAATATTTTAATTTTCTTGATAAAAAATAGACAAAAATAAAAACTGCAAAGGCAATAAATAATGCTTTTAGTCAAAAACTGCACTATGCAAAAAATATTCATACTTAGATGAATAACTATATTAAATTTTACACAATTCTGATAATTAAAATATTTAATATAAGTGCCACAGAGAAAAAACCTGTATTAAATTTTAAGTTATTACTTTAGCAAACATATGGCATTATTATATAATGCCATATGTCTACTAAAATAATAACCTAAATATTTACTATAGGTTTTTTCTCTGCAACAGCATTCAAAAGCTTTTTTTTTGTTCTGGCTTTAATTTTTAAATTTATATTAATTGATAGATAATTAAACATAAACTTCATGTTAAAACTATTACTTTTCTCTAGGATGAGAATATTATTAGTCAAATAAAATTATTTATCTGATTTAACAAGTTCAAAATATCTCCAAAAATTTTAGTGAAATATATTAATGATGAGGTTCTTCCTAGTAAGCATTATTTTTTTAAATTATCTAAAGTATTTTTAATTAAAAGAATCTGCTTCTCTATATGTGTAATTTAGAATAATAATTTAGAACAAATATTTCTTAAAAAAAAAACTAAAAATATGTTCTTTTAATTAAAAATATTTTATATAAATAATGTTTATATATGTATAGTATTTGTATTAATTACATTATACTTTAAAGGTCTTGGGTTTGATTTGCCTCTAATGATTCATGAAAACACTACACATAATTATCTAATAGCACTTGGCTATAAATTTTCTTGTATAAAAAAGAGTGTGTATGTTGACGGTCATGAACAAAGTGATGTTGTGGCATATCACAAAGTGTTTCTAGATAAAATATTAGAGTTAGAAAAATTAGTGCCAACATTTAATAGTAAGAATATGGAAATAATAAAATTGCTAATATTATCTTTTGGTGAAAAACTTTATATACTTGTTATACATGATGAGTGTATATTTTCATCATATAATGGTATGCTGATATGTTGAAAACCTAAAGGTAAACAATTTCTAAGAAAAAAAAGATAAGGTCAATCTTTGCATATGAATAAGTTTTTAACAGATGTATGTGGACATTTAAGACTGGAGATAAATTTAATTTTATTATATTTTTCTATGATTTAAAAGTTTTATTATGTAGTTTAAATAGTTAATTCTTTTTAAAACAAGGTAGACTCTTTCAACTTTAAAGAAGCATATATTATAATGATACCTAATATAAATGGCAATAAATAGTGAACAGTCAAAAATCTAGTAGTGTAAGTGTATGATAAGGCAATTCCTATTTTTGAAGAATGATTTCCTGAAGCAGTTGCAGTTTTCACTTTTTATAATGTAACTAGTCATGCAACCTTTTGTACCAGATGCCCTTGTGACTAAAAAAATGAACCTAAAATCAAAAAGAAAACAATCAAAAATGAGATAATTTAAATATCTTAAAATGTTACTAAGAAAAAATAGACTTAAGCTTTATATTTATAATTTATTGGACTTATATCTAGATAAATCAAGGTATTGAGTCAATAAATTATAAATATCAAAACTCAAATCTATTTTTTTTTTGTGAATACTCTTATTATTGACAATTTTTTTTAATATGAACTTGTTTTAGATTTATAATTTTTGGAAATAGAACCTTACAAGATATGGTTTTCTCTTTAGATCATAAGGATGCTTCACTTTAAGAGCAACCAAAAGATTTATATATTGTGCTAAATGAACATGAATTGTGATGAGAAGGTCTTCTTAAAAAGTATAAGAATGGATGTGAATTAAGAACTAAAAGTTGTTGCGTAATTACAATTATGTCTAATGAATCTGATTTTTTAAAACAAAAATGTTAATAAGAGAAAATTATTATTGCTAGAAAACATAAAATAATTTTTTATCCAAAATTTTATTATGAACTTAACTATATAGAGAATTTTTGGGATGCAGTTAAGTATTATACATGTATAAATTGTAATTACATATAGAAGAAATTGCAAAACATTGTTCCAAAAGAGTTGGATTTAGTATCTTTGTTAACTATTTGATGTTTTTCCAGAAAAACTTTTTGTTATATGAATATATATCATAAAGAATTAACTGGAAAGATTGCTAAATATGTGATAAAAAAATATTATTCACATCAAAGAGTTTCAAATGTTGTATTTGATGATATTGCTATTTTTTATAATGTTTAATTTATAATAAACAAATAAATAAATTGATGCTGTTAAAAAATTTTAATAATATTATTATAAACAAGCCTACCGAATAATTGATTGTAAGGGCAATTAATTGCAAGAATCAGTCAGAAGCACCTTCCAGAAGTTCTTGTCATAGCATATATTTTATTAGGATCACTCCTGAAGTTCAGGTGATGACTACATAGTACATATTATTGTTATTTGAGAGTACCGCAAGGGTTATGGTTAATAAAATATATGCTGTGGCAATTCATAGGTCATCATCCAAACTTCTGGGAGATGCTCCTGACTGATTTTTAATTGCAATTTTTTGAACTCAATTAATTGATTGATGGCGCAGTCACAATAAGTCAATTAATTGCAATTTTTACGTAATTAGCTTACATTCATATATTCATCGCCAGATTGTAAAAATTACATGTGGTTTATAAGTCATTTACGTATACATAATTATTGAATTAATGCCCCTGGGTGTTATTTCGAAGGGCTTAATTTAAAAAGAGTCAATAATTGATTCGGCCAAAGATTTTTTTAAAATTTTACTATTTATTTAATTCGGCCAAATTAATTATTGACTCGTTTTAAATTAAACCTGCTGGTATGGTACTTGTACGCATATACTTAATTTTAATAATCACAGCATTCACATTAAAAGTTTTCCGTAATTGTATTATTTATTATTGAGGATTTTTATCGGTTATTTTAATAATTTCGGAAATTTCGGAAATTTCGGAAAATTAACTATGCAGGTTGTTTTCTTTATTAGTGCAATATACCGTAAATTTTTTTAAAATAACTACTAAAGGTACACTTTTTGAGCGAAGAATATGGAGTTTTATGTCTTTTTTTTAATCGATAGCTTTTATTATGTTCATTCAGCAATAGGCTCAGTTTTACTATTTTCATTAGCTTTATGTTTGTCAATTTAGATAGTTTATTTTACATTGTTAAAGCATTTACTACTTATGAAATAGTATAAATCGAAAAATGGCACTATTGCATTAAAGTATACAATTTGCTCTATCTTTTTACAAAAAATTAGACCATTAATTATTATACTAGTTCGAGAGAAAAATGTTTCATAAAAATATTTATCATATATGCGGTCCTAATTAATGTCTGATTTTACTAGTTTGATCACCCTAAGCCCTCATGCTTATAATAGTGCCCGGGATTTGTGTCCGGTACTTAGTACCTATCTTGCCCGGTACTTAGTGCTATAGTGTTTGACACTTAGTGCCTATAGTTGGTGCCTATAGTTATGCCCATAATGCCTGGCACTTAGTGCCCATGCCTATTATAGTGCCTGTACCCAGTGTTGGCATTGGACATATGTTCATAGTGCCTAGTATTTATACCCATGCCTATAAGAGGAGTACCTGGGATTTTTATACCTACGAGCAGGCATGGCATAAGGCACTTGGTGCCTGGCACAATGCCCATATCCCAGCATGGGAATTTGCAAAGCTCTAAATAGAATAGTCTATAGCAAAATTATCTTCTACTTAATGAACGGCTATAGTAAAAATGTTTAGTGATCTTGGTCAATTCCGGCCCAGCCGATAAGGATTCCGATGCCTTCCGAACCGGAATCTTGGGAATCCCCCTGTATGAGTTGTCAATTTTGACTAATCTGAACTATGTTTAAATTACTTAAATAAATCATCAAAAACTGGATCAGAAAGGGCTAAAATAGACCAGATTGGACTAGAACAGACTGCTAACATCTATATATAAGAGTCAATCCAAATCCCGTATTAAGTAGAAATGTTATTACGTATCCTTTTAATCGGGTCTACCAATGAATAAACTAGGCATTTCATAGCAAAAATCCTATCATTCACTAATAGCATACAATTGCTCAATTCAAAGCTATAATGCGAAATAATTTACAATAAATCTATTTAACTACAAGTACATACATATGCATACATTCAAATTTTCATCAAGCTAAATTAACTACGTAATCTTAAGATCCATTTAACAAATAAAATTAGTTATAAAAGTCTACATAATCAAAAAAATGTCCATAATTATAGAAAGGCTGTAAATAATATTCAAGAGAAAAATTGGTACAATAACCCAAAATCATCTCTATGTGAATATAACCAAATATGCTTGTAACCTTCCTTGCTTCGTAGTTTTTTGAGATAACTTTGAATACTACTTAAATATTCTTTTTGTTGGGGAGAAACCAGATCAAATACTAAAAAAAAAAATCATTAAATAAAAAATAAACCATTATTGAAAGAAATTGCCTAGTAAAACTTACTTTTACATTTAAATGATTCATCATCTAGTACATCACAATCTGAGATTTTGCGTAGTAATTCACGACTTACGTCTACTGCCACTACAGGAACACTACCATCATTGATATGTCTTATTATTCCAGAAATATTATCATTCGCTAAATAAAAATAAATATAGTTGAGCAAAAAGAAAGGAGAAAATAGATAAATAAATATAGTAATAATGAACATTATGAACCTTTATCAATAAGTAATTGCTTCTGCTTATGTTTCATTTTTTTATTGCCTTTATTTGTTGTGGGAGGTACAACGATCTTGATAGATAATTTTGATCGATTACAAGAGGCTTCTAATGATAATGGCATACTGCTATTGCTGAAATCATTGTTCACTGTTGAATAAATTGATGAGTTAAAAATAAATATTATGATACAAGTAAACCATAAAACTTTCAACGTACAATCCGTCTGTGCTATCAAATAATGCTTGTGAAATTTGGATCCTGAGGCATATAAATCAATTCTCATTTGTTCTTGGATTTCACTATTTAATTTTACGCAAAGCTCATTACGGGGAACTGTCAAAGCATTAAGCAAATAAAATTAATCTCAAACATATGATTTGTAACAATTTAAAAACTAATACATATATTACCTTCTTCTTCAGTTTTCAGTATCAAATTCTTTATTTTGAAAATAGTTACAGCGTCTCTCAAAGTGTACAAATCTTGATTTTTATGTCTCATTGTTATTATCCAATTGATCCCTTTTTCCCTACATGAAGATGCCAGAATTTCAGGAGTAAGATCTACCGGTTCTTCATACATGAAGTCAGCTTTAATGTTATGTGCCCACAATTCATGAACAAGATCCAGGCGTTCCTGCAACATAATTTTGCCAAAGCTTGCAACGTATACATCACACTGCAATATAAGACATAAATATGAAGTATTAATCCATAGTATCCGTAACAGTAAATAAGTTATATATACCTTTTTTGGCGCCCAGAACCCAAAACTCCTTTCCTCTTCAAGCTTCTTCTTCTGAATCATTTTAGATATGGCGATTTGATAAGTTTCTAGAGCGACGACTATTTTTTGTACTGCTATGTTAACTCCAACTGCAAGTATTTGTTGCCGATTAACAGATGTTCCACTTGCTATAGGATGCCGAAATTTTTGTATTAATGAGTCGTATCTTCCACCAGCAGCAATCACGTCTTTCCGACTACTGTCAACAGTTTGAAAAATCATTCCATTCTTGTAATAATGATTATTATACCTAGAAGAAATCAATGCATATTAGAATAGTTCGGATGAAAAATAGGTAAATAATGCTTTGTGATTTCTTACGTTAGCAATGGCACAAATATAATATTATGACGAATGCCGAGACATTGTGTGTATGTCAACAAAAGCTTGAAATCGTTAATTGCTTCATGTATTCGTTTACGCATGTTACCCGCGGGAATCAACTTGTCCAAAGAAGCTGAAATGGAATTCAGGTCTCCTAAAACCGCATCATAAATTGTTAGGACATAAAATGAATTACACATTTAATAGCTATAAAATTACCTCTAATATCAAAAAGAACTAATTCATCCAGCACACTCCTTGGCATGTCATATTTGTCCATAAGTTGTGTCCTGATCTGATTCATCGTATATTTCTTATCAAGTTGGCTGAGTAAATTATATACACCACGCCGAATTTCCCCAGGTATTCTACAGCAATCAAAAATTGTTTCTACGATACTTGTATGATTTACAAAAAAACAATAATTGTTCGTTTTTAATGGTGGGAATTCTTCAAGAACTTCATCAACCACTTTCATTATCTCTGCTTCAGCAACCATTGGAGCAGGCGTTGAATGGATTATATCAAAATCAGCTTCATTAACTATACGAGGCTGTCCAACAATATTTTCCCTATAAATAATGAAATAAGCGTGTCATTACTGGCACGGATTCTCTTTGCTATGTTGAAACCTTACCTGTATACTCTATCAAATGTATATCTTTTTAGATCTGTAATATTGTTACGTGAAATATGTCTCGAAAAAGGTACCGTCAAGTCATAAGGAAGCTATAGATATTAAATTCATTAATTATCGAGAATTCAATTTTTGAGAATTCAAATAATTCTATTTCTAACCTGTACAATTCCTCCATCTGAATCCATTAAAAAAACTGCCTTTTTGTCCTCATCGTATATATCAGATTTGGGCATCAACAAAGGGGTGATCAATTCCACTGCGCCATGATGACGAAATATCTTGACCATATAATCGCGTACTCTTCCAAACGTTAGAGCGCTCGATATGTTAAAAGAAACGTTCCCCTGTAAATAAACTACGGTTAGAATTAACTGTAAAAAAATGACCAACAAAAAAAACTATACATTACAAAGTCATAAGTATAATCTTTATGTTTATCTGATGATTGGGAAAACAGTTCCGACATTAAAGATCGATAGTGTGGAGTACTTGGATTAACTAATTTATCAAAAAAAGTTAAGTATTAAATACACATTCATTTATTACAATTAATAATTCTGATTGAACTAAAAATAACCCATTGTTCTAATGCATTCTTGCAAATGTTCATCTTCAATTTTAGCTGGTAACCATTCACTTTTTAAAAGGTCTATGCTTGTGGGTCGATTTTTAGAATTATGATGCAGGCACCAACGAATAATATGTGCTTGTTTGTCCATTTTGTCGAATGGAAAATCTTTTGGAAAGGTTATCTCGGGCCTTCGGAGGTTTAGGATGGTCTAGTATTTATTTAATCATTACTATTAATACAATCGTAAGAACAAAATAGCAAATGCATATATGACACAATGAGTAACTTTACCATTCGACGTTCCATTTCAGTAGTAAATTTGTAGAAAATTTCAAATAAAATTATTCCTATAAGGTTTCCGATAAAAAAGAGTTTATAACATTAACTGATAATTAAAAGCAAACAGTCGTAGCTTACCTAAGGAATATATATCCACTAAATAAAAGTATTATCAGTATCACTTATTATAATATGCTTTCAATATTCAACAACTTCGTACCTTTTTGATTATAGCGAGTTCCCACACCAGCATTAGTGGTAACCTCAGGAGCGCCATAAAGGAGCGTCCCAACATCTAAACAGGAATTGTAATTAAATAAATAAAATGATAGCATAGAACGAAGCATTTTACACAAGGTAAAATGAAAAAAATACCTCCAGTCATTGAATCTTCTCTACTGTTCATTCTGTAAAAAATTGACATTCTGAAAGTACCCGGATCAAATAATGCGTCATTATCATTCGTGGTAGCCAATCCAAAATCGCCGATCTATATATTGAGATAGTTCTACATTATCAAAATGCATTATTGAATATATATCTTTAATGTTTATTACCTTCACATCGCCGTTTTTGTCCAAAAAAATATTACTTGGTTTTAAATCTCGATGAATCTAATGATAAAATAACAAGGGGTCTCACTTTTTTTATATTAATAAAAAACCAACCTTTTATGCTATCAATATGTAAAAATTACCATGCCCTATATTGAATAAATTAAAATGAATAAATGTTACAAGGACAATTAAACTAATCAAATTCATTATTTACATACACTGCGATGAATGTGTACTTTAAAAAAATCAAAGACATAATTAATTAACAATTATATCAAACTTAAATTTCAATAAAGAATTAAATTAGCATACCCAGCCCCTCCACTATTTGTCGAAAAATTCTATTGACACATTTTTTTTTATAAGTTTATGCAAAAAAAATATATTGCTAGTAAATATAAAAAATTAACCAACCTCCAACCTTCATCTTCCTTTACACCTATGTCAATGATATCTTTCAAGGTTTTATTTTCACAATATTCCATTTGTATATAAAGTATACGACATTTTTCCTCTCTGGCCAACGTCCTTTTGGAAACAGCTTTATTTCTTGCTACACCAACTCCTCTTGTTATCTCATCTTGCATTACTTCAAATTCAGAATCTGATGAAGAAGATGACGATCCTATAAATTTTATGTTGCTGGATGCATCAGCAGAAAGAAAATCAAAATTGTCGTCGTCGTCAGGATAATCATCAGAATCTAAGGACTCATTGACAGCGCCATTGATATCTTCGCTAAAGGTCTTTGTCTCATTCAAGGAGCCATCTGAATCTGTTCAATCAAACGAATACATACAATTCGTTAATATATCACAATCAATAAATATTCTAATAAATAAACGTTACCTTCAAACCAGGTTGTATAATAGCGGACAACATATTGGTGATGCAATCGAGATAATGTGGTTACCTCCCGCAAAATCTTGCGAGTTTTTTCAATGTCATTGGGATTTAGACGCACTTTTTTTATTGCATAATGCCTTTACAACAAGATTAATTTAATCAGAATAAATCATAAGCTATTGAAAATAATCACCAAAATTCTCATACCTGCCATCAAGTTTGTTTTTAGCCTTTACCACCTCACCAAACCCGCCTAAATAAATAAATTTCATTTGATTAAAGAAAAATAAAATATAATAATGCATGGTAGAGATGACAATCGATCACATCATAGTTAATTACTTTTATCAATCGCCATCTTTAATGATAGTATATTAAATACCTTTGCCAAGGAACGCGATTTCTTCGAAATCAAGTTTATATCTTGAAAACAAAGCATGATGCTGCGAAGGTTTTGGTGGAGAAAATGTATGCTGAGGAATACCCTCACCAAAACTACCAGCTAATTCGTCATTCTCTTTTATGAACGGTGGTGTAATAGTTTTAGGAGCTAAAGTTCCTATAAAACCACCAATTAATAATGCTTCTCAGAATGCAATTATAGCAACAATAATAATTCTTAAATTTTACTAAACCTGTTGACATGATGAACTTTAAAGGTGTATCCAAAAAGCTAGAAGACCCTTCACTGAAAAAAGGTTTTGCAAGCAATTCTAATGGTGTTGGCCTTTTTAAATGATCTCTGTATTCAAATCGAAAAAAAAATCAATAAACCAAACAGAATAAGGTAATCATATTTAACTAGCTAGAGAAATTAAAACCTAGGCCTGACTCACTTTTCAAGCATAGTTCTAAGAACATCTTGGACAGCTGGTGGAATATCATACTCAGCTATAAAATAATAGTAAACAATTTTAAATATTTTTATCAAATTTAATAGTAATGTACATATGACAAGTGGATTCCTTACATGAACTTAACAAATCATCTAACGAACTATATTTTTGTATAGCATTTAGTCCGAATAGCATTTGCACAAAAATAACACCGAGATACCAAATATCATTCTTTCTGTAAAATAAACATTGTCTGTTAGTCTTAAACAAAAAAAAAAACAATAGTATAAATATTTCAAACTTTACCTCGAATATACATTAGGCCGTGATTTTTGTTCAGGAGAAATCCTGATAAAATGATTCGCAATAAAAATGAGAACGACGCTTTATAAATAGGAAATATTATAATATGCCATACCATTTTTTGCACGGCTCTTCACTTGAATATTTAACAAATGGGAATTCTTTATGCATATCTGATATTATGAGACTAATAATGAGCACTAATAAAAAATTAAGACTATATTCATTGTTATTTTTGATACATTACCCAATAGCTTCCTGTGATAACTAATATCCGCTAGATTAGCTATATATTCATCCTTTTCAGGAATTTCGGTAAATAGTATATTTGAGGCTTTTATATCTTCATGTAAAAAATATTTGCAATGAATTGTTAAGCAATATAAGAATATAATATACTTAATACTAAAATTAGGAGTAGACCTACCTTTATGCACAAAGCTGTTAGCATGTATATAATCCAGTGCATCCAACAACTGCTTCATATATTCTCTCGCTAATTGTAAGCGAACAACACCACATTTTTTTAACAAATCAACCATTGTTCCTCCACATGAATATTCCATGAGAATATGCAATTTCCATCCCGATTCACATCTCTCAAGCTCGGATTCATATACAGCGACTAAATTCGAATGACGAAGCTTTTTAATACGATCGAGATCCCTCTCAATATCTTCTAACTAAAGTGAATTTTCAATAAGTTAAATAATTGACATGAACAAAATTTATTACTTATAATAATATGTATGATAGGATAAAAGATTTCTTATCATACCTTTTCCTTGCCAGCCAGCTCTAAGTAATGCGGTTCAGAAATTTCAATATCTTTAAGAATTAAAACATGACGGTCTTTTGGAGCCGTATCTTTAATCTGGTCATTAATTGCCTGAACCATATATGTTGAACCAACTATTCCTAATATATTCACAACGGTAAATGGGAAATTTTGAACGTAATGAAGGGAAACAATGCCAGTAAATTACAAGTATATACCTTTTCCTACTAATGGTCCAAGAATTACGGATTTAAAAGGAACTGACTAAAGTATTATGTTATATTTAATATGCTGTTTACTCAATTGTAAATTATAATGTGTATATCTAATTATAAATACCGATGAATCTCCAGGATCCAGCACAATTTTTCTATCAAAGTTAACAGTTTTAAATACCGAAGATGCGTCTGTTAATGGATTTGCACCTTTAGCTTTCAATTGCTTTCTTTTTTGCTTTTCTTCTTCGACCTTTGCCATTAGACGTTGTTCCTCCTCCTGAATTTTTTGAAGTAATAACAAGTTCTCTGCCGTTCGTTCTTGCTCTTCAGTTTGACGCGCACGATCCATTTCTTCCATTGCCTTTTCTTGTTCGGCCTAACAAAAAGATTATAACATAAATTCATTTTTACGATAATATAGGAATGAGCTACTGCGCAGGCTGCGCAATATTTCACTGTCCAATATCGGTCTATGACTTATTGGCTAATTATAGGTCATGACCAACTATAACTTATAAATTTACTATTTAATTATGATCATCTTAGTCACATAAAGTTGGATACGACCTAAATGGCTAACATTGCACTGCGCAGAATATTTGGGAGGTTGCACGCAGTTTAATTTTTATAATTTAGGCCAGCTGACATGATTCTGATTAGCTCGTATAATGTTGCAATAGATTCAAAAATCTTCGATTTGCCCACCCTTAATAGTAATATTTAAAAAACCACGAATACAACGAACCTTGGTTATTTTTTCATTTCGACTTAACATTTGCTCATGAAAAGATTGCTTAGCCAAAATTTTAACGCCATTGTTATTCGTAGTTATAAACTCTTGAACGTATTGAGCGATATTGAAAACCATCTCTTGCCCAAGGTTGTCTTTGATAAGTCGAGATATATGTTCTCGAACTTTAGTCATTTGTTCCTCTGAAAGACCGCGTGCATTTTCAATTTTTATATCTGGTGCTGAACGTGGATATGTTTTTGGAAATCTAGAGCAATTATAGTGATTAATTATTTTTTCTAGTATAATAGTAAGTATATTGATTATTAAACGCAACTCACTTAACGTGCAAGTCTACTGACACATGCTCCTTCAGTTCCTCTTCATGAGGTAAAAGATGAAGTCGAAACTCATGACATGTCGGTGCGACCTAATACGAAAACTTTAAATTTATTCAGCGATGAGATCCAAAATCAAGCAATTTTAATAATAGGATCAAACTCAACCTTCCATGCTGAAGTCACAACCACGGGCACGTAATCTTCCATATAAATTGCTAAGAGCGAAAAAGGGATAATTATCATGCTAGAACGAAATGAATTTGTCTCTACCAACCTTTTTCACCTGAGCAAACAAAGCTTACCTTTCAAAGCTTCAATTTCATTTTCCTGTGTTTCCTAGCAAGCAAAATTTAGGTATATAATGTCAACGTGATTAAGAGAAGGAAAAAATAAAAATAAAAATGTGGCAACGAGTAGTATGTAACCATTACCTTGTCTTCGTTTGACCCAAATCGAGAAACTAGCAAAGATCGTTGTTTTTTTGATTTTACCATGAAGGGCAAATATGTTATGGCTCACTGCATGACTCGTATGATACTCTAGACTTGAAAAGTCACGATAAATATTAAAACAAGAATGTAGGATTTGACTTTGTAAAGCCGTTTATGTAATGAAATTTGTACGTGCATTTCCGTTTCTTTTGCGACCCATGGTACCACCAATGAAAACGATCTGTAGGCTATTTGGATCACATGCTAATTATCTGAAATAGTTATAAGGGGCATTAAGCAATGTTTGACTGATATCATGCATGGCACTTTATTTTATATCAGTGCCCAACACCTATCTAGTTAAGTACATGCATTCTATGACTTATTACAAAAAACATGACTAGTGATTTGGGACATTCCATACTAATTTTGACTTCTCAGCGACTTTCCTCAGCAAAAATTCGTGGAATTTCAATAATCACATGACCTAGAGTTGATGTTGAGGGATTATCTAATATTGCATGCATCGATATAGGATATCGACTTCTACATTATCACTATTGGCCAAATGTTAACTTTTGGCATTCCCGTATTATATTCAACATTTAAATAAAATAAATTTCTTAACTCATCGCCCGATCATAAGCTAATATCACAATCATTATTTATAAGTGTGGTATTAGTCAACAAGTAAGCAAATTAAGCCTATTAATAACACTAAAATGTCATGTAAAAGACTCAACGGATAAAAAACAAATTTCATCGATCCAGATGGAATTTTCTGGCTTGGTATATTTTTACGAACATAAGAATGAAGTATTCATCTTTAGTATGACTGTGCGTGCTTCAATATAGGTGAGTATTATTATTGTTGGGGATGATGCTGGAATTGGCTGAAGCTGAAAATTTGAGGGCCTCTATTTAGATCCATAAAACCTACTAAACCCACTTATTATGATTCAGTAATTCTACCCATAAAGCTGATCCCTAACCCTAAAAAAAAGTCAAAAAAATGGACCTCAAAAATTTTTTAAATTTTCATAATAAAATAAGACAAATTTTCAGCTTCAGCCACCACAATTATTAATCATTGATCCTTCATATACTAAAGAAAACGTACATAATTAATTATAGAGCCTTTTGTAAAAGAAATATTATCATTATTATTGATAAAATAGTATCTTGCCTTTGCTTCTATCAAAATAGAATAGTCTATTTTAAACAAATACTTTGTAATTAATATAAAAAGCCTTTATTATTGAAATTTTTGTTCATAGGCTAATTTTAAGCATGAAAAATACTGCACCAATCTTTTGTCACGCGGTTACATAGAATATCGCGGAAAATTCAGCTTTAATTGAATTAAAAATATCACGGGAATTATGTAATTTTATGTTTCAAATTCTAGAAATCAGCAGAATTTAAAATTGCCCTTGAAGCACTAAGATACCTTCGTTAAAAATTTATAGCTATGGCAATAATTCGAAATGTTTTAAAATTTGAATAACTATCTCAGAGGAATATTTTGGCCAGTTTATTCAAGAGTAATTTCGAATTCTATAGATCAGAGTTTCAGAATTAACTTATCCCGAAATAAGTGAGGGTTTAAAAAGTCTTGTGTTTCTAATTTTCCAAGTCAGAAAATGTCGCGGATAATAATGAAATCGGATCAAAATGAAATGAGGAATTTCTATTTGACCCCTGAAACCCACTTATACTTGATTATTATAAATTCTACCCCTTAACACTAATCCTAACCCTAAAAAAATGCTAAAAAAATGCACCTCAAAAATTTGTATTTTTCGGTGGCTTGTCTATTTGACATTATCACTCATTTCATTTTAATCTGATTTCATTTTAATCCTTTTGGTTGCGGACTATAATAAAATAGAATTTATATATCATATCAAAATAAATACAATACCGTACGGCCACTCCTTATATATAAAATGTAAAATTGATTATAACCCAGAAACAAATGACTTCGAAAATTTTTATCTTATAGATTTGTTGCTTTTAGTTTAAGCTACAATTCTGTTAGAATAGATTTTTACTTTTCTTAGAAGATTGAGAGCTTAAATTTTGTGTGTAATCAAAAATTTGGCGTCCAACATGTAAAAAAAAAAAATTGTTTATATGTATTTTTGACCAATCAAAATTGGCTATATTCAAATTAACCAATCAGAATTGCCTACATAATTCTCAAAGTTGGGGTTTTCAAAATAATTGCCGTCCGGTACTGTACATCACTTATTTTTCCAAAATTAGATACCAAATCATTAATTCTGAAACTCCCTGTTCTAGAATTAGCGTTAGAAAGTGTAAAAAAATCAAAACTGATGTAGGGATTGTTACACCCGAAACTACCTCTTATAAGTTTGGTATAACGGTTACTTTAGTGATGGATATATTATACGTATGATTCATTCTACTATTCGGACGACTATAGTAGAATTTCTCTTAATACCCGAGTTATAGTTGGCGGTAGGATTACTGAATTACGGCATTACCATGTGGTTGAATTAATTACAGCATAGTACGTATCTAATTGCCGTAAATGTTATATGCTGTAATGCTATAACGTATTACGGCATTATGGATCAAAAATTACGGCAAATTACCAAATTAATTTTACCACCAACTATAACCCGAGTAACTGGGTAACCCACCCGTGAGTGATCCGTAGCATAATTTCTCTTATCACCCGAGTGACCCGGTTGACGCTTTTCTGGACGGGTCAAACACTACTCTCAATGAAATTACATATTCCTGCTTACCGATCGCAAGTAAAACTGAAATAGATTTATTAAACGCTATGCCATGTGTATTAAAAACCTTAGTTACATTTCTGGTCGTGACCATATCACTTGCCCGCAGCCAAGTCACCTTTACAACGCTTAAGTCTTTTATCTATGCCACACATCTTAGTTGGCTAGTGTTTGATAAACAGTATCTCGTAAACAATTTTCTCTATTCACTTCTAATGGTTAGTTGGGTACAATAATAATCCCAACGATCCTTATTTTAGTGTTAGCGGATTTCTTGCAGCATAGGTGGCATCATCAATAAAATGTATTATAGGTGTGTCTACCTTTATGATAACCTATATTGGTATATGTTGTGCTTAGCATTAGACTAACGCTGTAAAAGATTACAACTAGTATTTTTTGATGGTAATAAAAGCATTGTTTCCGAACTGAACCAGTAAGTGTATTAGATATGTTTGCCATTAGTACGTAGCAAATATCTACTGTGAAGACCTGATACTGGTGACTGACTTGTGTGAAATATAAATGAAGTCTGCCATTAATAGTGTATTTTATTATTTTTACTCCCGGCGTTAAGTACTCTGTTAATAAAGCTTGTGACTACTTCAAATAGATAACTACTTTGAATATATTTATATCCTAACTTTGGCTCTAACTTTGAACCTAGGTCAATAGAAATCTCAAGAAGGCGTTTGGTCTAAAGCAAAATATAATCTAAAAAGTTTGATCAATGAAAATGTATGATAAGCACTTGTCATTATCATTATACTAACCCATTTATGTATTATCCAAGCTGGAACACGTTTCTTACATTCTACACTATAAATTTAATGTGTTTTCTTGATTAATATTTCATTATACATTTTAAATATTTGAAATCATTGAAGCATTCTGAATAAATCAGAGACTAAGTACAAACTTCCACACAAAACAACTATTTGATATTGTTTATTGTAACCTGCAAATGCTTGACCGAACGCCTCACCTAGACTGTCTACAACTTTTGAATTAACCTTTTGTTCCAGCGAATTTACACATTCTAAAATAACTTGCGAATTATAACATTTAACCCAAGGCATTCCCTCAACATTCGTAAATCTCACAGCAAACAGTGAATCGCCGTTTCTCATTAATAATTCAAGTATTTTCGAAATATCTTTTCCTTCTGTGGCAGCAAATATCCAACAAACATTACAAGTCTTTGTAATTTCTTTATTCTGTAATTGTAATTGCTTATCAACATAATTTCTAAGGACTTTTGCTGCAGGTGGATTATGTGCACCATCAACCAATACTTGAAACGTTTTTGTCAATTTTACGATTTTAGAAATATCAACCCATTGTAACCTTCCTGGCCACTGTGTGCAAGCTATTCCATTCTTAATATGGTCATTTGTTATTGTAGAAAATTTATATTCTGTCTTTCTCAAGAGATCAATAGCCAATATTGCTGTAGCAGCATTTTCAAGTTGAAAATCACCTTTAAGCGGAATAAAAAATTCAAACTGTGTTTTATTTAATAGTTCCATTGATGCTAGTCCAACAATTTCCGATTTCCATGTTGCAGGTCTAGCAAAAACTACTTGTGAGCATCCAATATCTTCAGAATATTTCTTTAATGTATTCTCTGCCACTTGTTCGATTTGCGGTGCGATCACAACTTTGCAACCAGTTTTCATAATACCAGCTTTTTCCTTTGATACTGCTTCAATATTATTGCCCAAAAAGTTCATGTGATCCATTCCTATGGAAGTAATAATACAGAGATTAGGCGATTCAAAAACGTTTGTAGCATCTAATCTTCCACCAAGTCCAACTTCAATGATAGCCAAATCAACTTTTTGAAAATCAAACCACCAAATGGCTGTAGCAGTTAATAATTCAAAAGGACTTGCACCGATATGATTATTGGAATTAACGACATTAATCAGATTATAAGTTTTATTATAATCATCTTTTTGAATCGGTTGCCCATTTATCTTTATAGAATCATACGGTTCAATTAGATGAGGAGAATTAAATCTCGCAGTTTTGAAACCTGATTTCATAATTATTTGGTCTATATATGCTGAAACAGATCCTTTACCATTCGTACCAGCTATGTGAACTACTGATAGTCTTTGATAAGGTTTATCAAGCAAATCAAGAATAGAATAAATCCTAGTTAAACCCAAGTTGATACTTGTCGACATAGTATTAAAGACAAAGTTTATGCAAATCGGACTGATTGCCCTTAAGCATGTTAAGGTTTTTAACGCAAAATGATTGGACGATTTGTTTTATTCAGAATTAATA